TTGTTTAGCGAAACCTCTTCTTCAACATTTATTGTGGTAGCAAAGGTTTGAATTACCGACGATGGAATCGGCCCAGTGACAAGCCAACCGAAAACTGTATTTTGTGCTAACAACGATCCGGACACAATAGAACGACAAGCTTCCAACAAGATTTTAAGGTATAAATCTGCCCCAAGCAGCAGATCTACTGGACGTGAATCGAATAAATTAATGTCAGCCAAACGAATATTGGGAATATGCGACCTAAAATCTGATGAGACGGTGAACGAAGGTAAATTTCCAGAAACAAGTGGCAATACTAAAGCATTAGTTTCCAACAAGACCGATGAATCACAAGGACTTCCAATTGTTATCGAACAAACTTTGCGTGAATGTGCCGAAATTGCACAATTAACGCCCGAAATACTAATATTGGTTGAAGAAATTGGGAGTTTTAGACGGTTCTAGAGCCGCTCAGATAAAAAGGACGATTTAGAAGCAGAGTCTATCAACGCCCTAGCTGGGTAAGAAATTCCACAATGAATTAAGTTCACCATTGCGGTTCCTAAAAGCACAGATTTATTTTGTGCCGCGTGAAATACTTGTCGGGAATTACCATTAGTCGATGTAGCAGGAACTGCTGGATCGACCGAAGAACTTTGAGCACGATTTAAAACGTTATTACTATTTCTATTAGGAGGGGTTGGGGCCGAAGATGATTTAGAAGGCGAAGAATCAGTTCTATGCAAGAATGAGTGATGTGTTCTACCACATTTAGAACACCGATGTTTGCTAATACAATTTTTAACCTCGTGACCATTTCTCAGACAATTCACACATAGGCGACGACGCTTAATGATAGAAAATCTTGTGGAGATCGACATATTTTTGAAACGAGGACATTCAAAAAGCAAAAGATTATGTTGCGGGCAAAGAATACAAGAGCTATTTTGGGGGGGATTTGAAATTATCCGATGACTTCGATTTTGTCATATGTGTTTGTACCTTTTTTACAACAGATTTTGTTGCCTGATCACTTCCCCTCATATCATGCAAGCACATTAAAGTTCGAATCCTTTCATTCAAGAAGCTATCCAAATCTATCCAAAGTGATATTGCCGATTTGTCTTTTACGCTTTGTTCCCACAACGTTTGCGTAATTTTTGGTAACCGCTGAAGACACAAGAAAACCAAAAATGGGTCCCAATTTTCAGTACGGATGTCATAGATGGACATCGCCGACAAACAAGCATTAATTCCACGTTGTAGGGTTTTTAATCCCGATGCGGATTCATTTTGTAATATTGGTAAAGCGAAAAGAATTTTAAATTGGTTGTGGACAAGTAACAGAGGATTGTCATAATTATCTTTTAAAACTTTCCACGCAAGACCGAAACTGCGGTGAGTCAACGGAAATCTCGAGATAATTTCTCGAGCCTCTCCACTAGTTTTGGGCGTAAGATGGCAAAGACGCTCTATATCGCTTAAACGCGAATTATTTATGTACACCGTGCTAAAAAGGTCTCTAAACGTGGGTCAAGATTGAAAATCTCCTTCGAAAACATCTATATCACACGGAGGAAGCACTAAACTATGCATAATGTCATTATTTGAAGGATCAATTAAACTCTGATGAACACTAGGATTCCCAATATTCGACATTGGGGAGCTAGTCTTACCTACTTCCTGAGAAGTATATGTAGCAGGGTTCGCTATCTCTAAAGCTACATCAGAAGACTGTAATTCTTGAGGAGTATTACAGGGATGCTGCAAAAGTGAGACTACTGAACTACTACGAGAGGAGTTCAGCGATTTTCTCGAACCGCGAAATTCTAACAACCTATTATTTATATCTGTTAAGCATTTCATATATTCCTGATGCACGACCTCATATTTATGATCAGCGGACTCGATCATTTCTTTAGTGGAGTCCTCAGACGTTTCCAAGAAGAGTATACATGTATCGAAGACATCCTGGGTCTTTTTCCAATATTTTTCTAGCTCGGCGCTACGAACTTCTAATGCACAGAGGTTAATTTCCTCTGGTTTCATTGCCCGAACCTGTTCCACGAACCTGACGAAGGTATCCGAAACCCGGATAAAGCTGTCCAATGAAGTATACGACATATTTAAAAGTTTTATTTTTTAAATGTTGACGACTTTCTTTGAAGAGAAACTCGAAATGTTAACGAAGAATTTCCGTAGGCGATCAGAAATATTCAATTTAGTTTTACCAAATGATTTTATTCTTTTCGAGAGAAACCAATTTCTTCTGGAAAAGAATAAATATCAAACAAATTTTGCACAAATTCCGACAAAAAGATGAAAAGACTCCAAATTTCAAAAAAGGCGACCTAATTCTTCACGAGAGAAACCAATTTCTTCTAGAAAAGAATCAAAATCGAACAATTTTATTTAAAATTAGGCAAAAATATTCAACAACTTCAATTTTAAACGAACCCGACCTAATTCTTCACAAGAGAAACCAATTTCTTCTAGAAAAGAATTAAAATCGACCAAAATTTCCAAGAATTCTTAAAAAGATGTATGCCAACAGCAATCTAATATGAAGTTTTACCAAAACAATTAATAAAACTTCCCCAAATGCTAAAATTTTCCCGAAATTCTTAAAGAAAATCAACGAAGGTTTTTTAATAATGGCACAAAAATTACCAAAATGATCAAAAACTGTAAAATTTCTGACAAAAAATCCAATCAAATTCTTGAAATTGCAATGGAATTCCAAAAACCAATCAAAAGTGACCGAAATGTCCGAAAAAAAATCAAAAAACAAACTTTTTTCCCAAAAATTTGATCGAAAAAATGCAAAAAAAAATTGCGAAAAACAAAAAAATATTTAAATTTTTGTGTATAGAACATATATAAAATGTTAAATAAAAAATGTATATTTAACTAAATTTTCAAAAATAAAAATTTTATTTCAAAAATATTCATTTTCGTATAAAATAATTAAAAAAGTATATTATTTATACGAAGCGACCAATAAATCGACCAATGCGGACTGTACAGTGCACGATATTTAATTATTTCCAAAATAATTACAATTTGTTCACATATACACCATTATCATATATAACAATTTTTTCACCTTTGTACCAACGTATGAACTAACCACCATCGACCGAACCGAATGGTGTAGCGCACACGTAACAAAGAAGAAAGAAAAAGGAAATAAAAAACTAGGCGAGCGACGGCTGCCTAACCAAGCATATGTATGTAACTGGCGTATGTATGTATAAACTAAAGGCCTGCACAAGACGAATTATATGAATTATGCTTTTTTCGACACACTGACTTTGTCTACTCAATCATGCGCTATGTATTTGAAAAGCAATGACAACCAACAACATCCCCCATTTTGATTCATATGTGCCATTGTCTAAGGTTCGATCGTGGCATGGCTGACTCGAATATTTGCATGGTGTTCTCCATAAATGCAGGGTGTCAACGATAACATCGAACCGTGTCATCGTCAAATTGTGTGTCATTTGTGTACGTGTGCTTAAATTGAGAGAGTGTGTGTGTGTTACTTTCGACGATGAGGCTGTGTTTTTTGTGTGTGCTGTAATTTTGAAGTAACAAATACCGCGTAAATATAAAATTGAGTTCAATAACAAAATGTGCATTGACATCAACAAATGAATAGAAAAAAATGAAATATATACTGAACAATCCCAATTTATTGATGATTATCATAAAATTTTGGTCATAAAAAAGATGTAAATATTGTTTGCCTATTTTCTATCTACATATAGTGTTTTTTTAAAATTAAAGTTTGTGGACAGAGATTTGACTCTCATTCAATAACAGAATTGAACAATTTTTTAAAAAGGATTAACAATAACCAGGAAATGTGAATGTCTCGTGTGGACCAATTAGAAGTAACTTTAATTTTTTAGTATTCGCCAAGAAATTCTTTATTACAAAAAATTATTTTTTCACATATCGGAAAGCAGGTAGCGATTGCGTTTTCCCTTCATCGCGTGTGTGTCTTTTTCGTTGGCAATTGTTTCATAATTGTTGTTTTTTTGATAGAACATTTTTGTATGACACACTATTCAACATTCCCTTTTATTGGTCATTGCATCTTATGACGATGGGTTTGAGTGTGACCGACATGTCGAGACATCGAGCATTTGGTTGGATGTCACGTGCTGTTATGCGTTTGATCAAACAGGGCACAACATGACGAGCGTTTTTTCTCCATGGCATAAAGAGAGAAAATTGTCACATTTGCAGCCCTTTAGTATAAACATCCAACAGACGATCGATCGCGAGCGTACATATGTCACACGCGTAAATATGTAAATATAATTATGTATGATGGATCAGTGAAAAAATAGAAAATATGAACAAGTGATTTTTGGAGTTTGGTGGTGTTTTTTCTTTTGTTATTCTTTTTGAATATGAACGAACACTAGAGTGAGTGGATGCTATTGCAATATTTATTATATTTATTTATTAAAATTATTCAAATTTTCATTTAAAAACCGATTGCACCACAATTATTATTAAAAATAATTTATTTAAATTTTATCCACTGACTTTTGGAACAAAATTCACCTGTTAATAATTATTTTTTAAACACAAAAATATTCTTTTTTTCCACTGATCACTATGTCCGTCCGAGACTAATAAACAAGAGAACGGGAGAAGGACGGACAAACAAAGGGAATACGCGACGCGTTGCAAAGCGGCCGTTGTTGTTGTAAAAAAGAATAGGTTAACGATCTTTATTTTTGTTTTGTTATTAATTTCGATAGTTATTATTTTGTTTCGCGAGCTCACAATAAAAAAAAACACTGCACACCTACCTTTTGTTGATGACGATGTAAATGATGATGATGCCGATGTAAATAGATGTTGATGGGGGATGATGACGTTGTTGCTGTTGGGAAGAACCAAACAAAAAAATCCAATAAGGCAACGATACCAAATAGCTCGTATCCGGCTCGATTGGGCCAAATAATGTTACCGCCGAAATTGCGTGTAAAATAAATAAAATAAAAAAACACGAACGTTTTAATTTTAAATTAAAAAAAATATGGTAGATTTATTGGGATAAATTAATAAATTAGAAAAAGGTGTAGGACAGATTACCTGTTGGTTGGTTTGGCAGCGAGAACAAGAGTGACTTTTTATAATGTCGAAAAGAGGCGTCGGCGGCAAATTTATACTCGTTAGAATCTGCATTTGACAGTTCAATATTGTAACAAAAAGGAATATGCAGATTGTAACGAGTATAGCATTCGATAAAGTCTCAAACACAATGAATGTGGAGACGACAAAGGAAATTAATGAACTTACGATTCTAAATTAAACATTGGCCACCCCCTTGCAACATTATTAATGTTGTAACACGACCAACATAATAACATTTTACAGATATATGAATATATAACAAATGATGATAGCAAAGGAAAGAAGGACAGCTTATTTTTTCAATATTTTCAAATTCAATAACATATACTACGGTTACGTGTAACAAACACCCGATAATACCCATCCAAATATTGTATAATGGGCGATACGCAATCCTGGGGAGACTTGCACTCGACTGGTGACGACTTTAGCATACACATCAGGACCTAGGACTAAAGCGACACGACTTGGTCGGTAAAAGGGGGGATCTGCTAGGGGTAAACCTAGGAACGACTCCTTCAGTTTTTCGGAAATTGGTTCCTTCGGCGTGAAAACGTGGCGAAGATCTGTCACTCGAGCCGAAACAATGATCGACTGTGTCGGATCATAAACGGAAGTGGCCGAAAATCGGCAAAAACGAACTCCATCCAAATTGGAGGTAGGTAGTCTTAAGTGGTCAACCATTGACGCACATATTTGACTTTCGTTCGGACGAGACTCGGAACTTGGGTACGGACGGGGTCTTGTAGTTTTTCGACTCCGGGACGAATAATGGTGATCCTTAGGATCATCGTGCAACAGGTAGTGATGATCACCTTCACATCTATAGCAGACCTTCTTTCTATGTCACTCCCTCCGTTGGTGTCCTTTGTGAGACATCGTGTGCAGTCCCGATGCGTTTTGACAACCTGTATATGGGCTTCTACAGACATAGCAACAAATTCTTTGCATGTACCAAGAGCATGCCGGCGAGAGCAAACCCGACACCCGTTACGATTCACGATTGATGTGCCCGGGGAGCCCGCAGTTACGGACTCTGATGTATTTGCCGAGCTGACGATACGACTACAGATCCCACAGTTATGGGATCTGGCCCCCTAGATGCAAGTTCCGCGATATACGGCAATACGGATGAACCCGCAGTTACGGATTCTGATGGTTTTCCGCGGGCTGGATCCGCAGTTACGGATTCCAATAATTGGGAGGTAGGTAACGGCGCTGAATCCGCAGTTACGGATTCTGTTACCGACTCCGACAATTTTACGGCCGCAATAGGTTTAACCAGTTCCTCAACAGCTTCGGATGTAGTACGCCTTTTGGTACCAGATATCTCGTCCGCTCTCTCTAATACGGTGTCGATCTTCGAGAGGAGTTCGATTTCAAACATATTGGTGGCATCCATTATACTAAGAGAAAAAATGGTTTAATTTTCTTCATTCGTCGATTGGTCGGTCAGAATGACCAACTTAGCTATCGGCCGTTTTACAACGCCGTTTGTCGTACGAACGTCCACGACACGAACATGTCCGTCTACACCGGGATAAACATTTATAACACGACCTAACTTCCATGAGGTCGGTGGTAGATTTTCTTGTCGAACAACGACTAAATCACCCCTATCTACTTCCCTTTCAGGATACTTCCACTTGTACCGCATATGCACATTTTTGAGATATTCCTCCTTCCATCTGATACAAAATTGATGAGCAAGCGCTTGGACTTTTCTAAACCGATTCACGAGCGAGATCGGTGGTTCATTAACCATGGGTTCGGGAGGAGCTAGTAAAGGCGCACCAATAAGAAAGTGACCGGGTGTTAAGGAAGCTAATTCACCCGGATCGTCTGACATAGGACAAAGCGGCCGCGAATTCAAAAAAGCCTCTATGCGAGCTAATTACTGTCGCTATTTCTTCAAAGGTAAACCGAAGATTTCAACAATGTTTTCGGAAATGTTGCTTAAAACTTTTCACTCCAGCTTCCCATAGACCACCCATATGTGGTGCACCAGCTGGAATGAGTTTCCATACGACACCCTGTTGAACAAGAGCCTCTGATGCTGAATCACAACTTTCACGAATGAAACGACTATCATTCCGGTCGATTTCACGTGAAGCTCCTACGAAATTTGTGCCATTGTCCGAAAATATAGTACCTGGACAACCCCGACGCGCTATAAAGCGATGTAATGCGGCTATAAAATTGGCAGTGGACAAATCCGATACTGCCTCCAAATGAATAGCCTTGGTCGAGAAGCAAACGAATACACAAACATATCCTTTTGTAATTTTTCAAGCCCGACCACAAAACGATTTTATCTCAAAGGGACCAGCAAAGTCCACCAGCGGCCATTATTTGACTACAGCGTTTCTTTTTATCTAAAATGCATACCTTACAATGACGAATGACAAAGCGAATCAATTTTTTTACTCTGGGAATCCAGTATTCCATTCTCAAGATACGAAGCATCAGCTGTGTTCCTCCGTGAACACTCTTGACGTGAATATATTCCACCAAGAGTCTAGCGAACCTACTTTTATATGACAGAATTATTGGACAACGTTCTGAGGGTGAAAGTGTGGGTGACCGCGCCAAACGACCATTCATGCACATGACACCATTTTCCACAAGCATTGGATTAAGTGGAACTAAATGACTCGAGTGTGCCACGGGTTTTTTATCCATCAAATCCTTGTACTCTTTAGCGAAGTGGACCTTTTGAGTGATAACTATCAACCGTAAGCGAACCTCATTAAATTCCGAAGTTGTAATCTTTTTCTGAGAGTAATAATATTTACCTCGATACCGAGAATGTGTTTGACGCAAAAATCTAAGCATGTAAGCGAAGGCCCGAATACCTTTTACAAATGACGAATATCTGTCCAAAATATCTGTAAAGGTTGATGAAAAGAATGAGAAATTGAATTGGCTTTGTTGGCGAGTCCCTATAGAGCATTTTTTGAAGCGGAGTGTGCCGAGGGTCTACTCGTATCTTCCGATACCTTTGGGTTATGTCCGAGTTAAACACGAATTTGAATACTCGCCAACGAAGTATCAGAAGAACAAGATCGAGTTGTAAAGTGGGTCCAACATGTAAAATATCGTTTAAACTATTCCCATTAGAAGTTTTATTCGAAGCATTGAAGACAACACGAAGTTTAGTTGTCTGCTTTTCGGGGATAATTACCGGATGATGAGGCAAATAACAAGAGAGGCTGTCAAGACTGTCAGCAGAAACTGACTTCATATGATCGAGTTCTAAATATTCAGTCAAAACTTGATCGTACGTAATTTTAACCTCCGGTTTTTTCAAAAGAGATGCTTCATTCCGAATGAACTGCTTAAGGACATTACCCCGAGATTCTCCTAAATACCTATCTGCATCTAAGTCAGTTCGTATGGGCAAGGTTACCATGTATCTACCGTCAGATAATCTATGCGTAGTTCGGACATAGTTTTCCTCACAAAGGCGTTCAGAGGGGGACAACATTTTTCGTTTAGGAAGCTCTTCTAACTCCCAGAATCGAAGCAAAGTTTTGTTTAGCGAAACCTCTTCTTCAACATTTATTGTGGTAGCAAAGGTTTGAATTACCGACGATGGAATCGGCCCAGTGACAAGCCAACCGAAAACTGTATTTTGTGCTAACAACGATCCGGACACAATAGAACGACAAGCTTCCAACAAGATTTTAAGGTATAAATCTGCCCCAAGCAGCAGATCTACTGGACGTGAATCGAATAAATTAATGTCAGCCAAACGAATATTGGGAATATGCGACCTAAAATCTGATGAGACGGTGAACGAAGGTAAATTTCCAGAAACAAGTGGCAATACTAAAGCATTAGTTTCCAACAAGACCGATGAATCACAAGGACTTCCAATTGTTATCGAACAAACTTTGCGTGAATGTGCCGAAATTGCACAATTAACGCCCGAAATACTAATATTGGTTGAAGAAATTGGGAGTTTTAGACGGTTCTAGAGCCGCTCAGATAAAAAGGACGATTTAGAAGCAGAGTCTATCAACGCCCTAGCTGGGTAAGAAATTCCACAATGAATTAAGTTCACCATTGCGGTTCCTAAAAGCACAGATTTATTTTGTGCCGCGTGAAATACTTGTCGGGAATTACCATTAGTCGATGTAGCAGGAACTGCTGGATCGACCGAAGAACTTTGAGCACGATTTAAAACGTTATTACTATTTCTATTAGGAGGGGTTGGGGCCGAAGATGATTTAGAAGGCGAAGAATCAGTTCTATGCAAGAATGAGTGATGTGTTCTACCACATTTAGAACACCGATGTTTGCTAATACAATTTTTAACCTCGTGACCATTTCTCAGACAATTCACACATAGGCGACGACGCTTAATGATAGAAAATCTTGTGGAGATCGACATATTTTTGAAACGAGGACATTCAAAAAGCAAAAGATTATGTTGCGGGCAAAGAATACAAGAGCTATTTTGGGGGGGATTTGAAATTATCCGATGACTTCGATTTTGTCATATGTGTTTGTACCTTTTTTACAACAGATTTTGTTGCCTGATCACTTCCCCTCATATCATGCAAGCACATTAAAGTTCGAATCCTTTCATTCAAGAAGCTATCCAAATCTATCCAAAGTGATATTGCCGATTTGTCTTTTACGCTTTGTTCCCACAACGTTTGCGTAATTTTTGGTAACCGCTGAAGACACAAGAAAACCAAAAATGGGTCCCAATTTTCAGTACGGATGTCATAGATGGACATCGCCGACAAACAAGCATTAATTCCACGTTGTAGGGTTTTTAATCCCGATGCGGATTCATTTTGTAATATTGGTAAAGCGAAAAGAATTTTAAATTGGTTGTGGACAAGTAACAGAGGATTGTCATAATTATCTTTTAAAACTTTCCACGCAAGACCGAAACTGCGGTGAGTCAACGGAAATCTCGAGATAATTTCTCGAGCCTCTCCACTAGTTTTGGGCGTAAGATGGCAAAGACGCTCTATATCGCTTAAACGCGAATTATTTATGTACACCGTGCTAAAAAGGTCTCTAAACGTGGGTCAAGATTGAAAATCTCCTTCGAAAACATCTATATCACACGGAGGAAGCACTAAACTATGCATAATGTCATTATTTGAAGGATCAATTAAACTCTGATGAACACTAGGATTCCCAATATTCGACATTGGGGAGCTAGTCTTACCTACTTCCTGAGAAGTATATGTAGCAGGGTTCGCTATCTCTAAAGCTACATCAGAAGACTGTAATTCTTGAGGAGTATTACAGGGATGCTGCAAAAGTGAGACTACTGAACTACTACGAGAGGAGTTCAGCGATTTTCTCGAACCGCGAAATTCTAACAACCTATTATTTATATCTGTTAAGCATTTCATATATTCCTGATGCACGACCTCATATTTATGATCAGCGGACTCGATCATTTCTTTAGTGGAGTCCTCAGACGTTTCCAAGAAGAGTATACATGTATCGAAGACATCCTGGGTCTTTTTCCAATATTTTTCTAGCTCGGCGCTACGAACTTCTAATGCACAGAGGTTAATTTCCTCTGGTTTCATTGCCCGAACCTGTTCCACGAACCTGACGAAGGTATCCGAAACCCGGATAAAGCTGTCCAATGAAGTATACGACATATTTAAAAGTTTTATTTTTTAAATGTTGACGACTTTCTTTGAAGAGAAACTCGAAATGTTAACGAAGAATTTCCGTAGGCGATCAGAAATATTCAATTTAGTTTTACCAAATGATTTTATTCTTTTCGAGAGAAACCAATTTCTTCTGGAAAAGAATAAATATCAAACAAATTTTGCACAAATTCCGACAAAAAGATGAAAAGACTCCAAATTTCAAAAAAGGCGACCTAATTCTTCACGAGAGAAACCAATTTCTTCTAGAAAAGAATCAAAATCGAACAATTTTATTTAAAATTAGGCAAAAATATTCAACAACTTCAATTTTAAACGAACCCGACCTAATTCTTCACAAGAGAAACCAATTTCTTCTAGAAAAGAATTAAAATCGACCAAAATTTCCAAGAATTCTTAAAAAGATGTATGCCAACAGCAATCTAATATGAAGTTTTACCAAAACAATTAATAAAACTTCCCCAAATGCTAAAATTTTCCCGAAATTCTTAAAGAAAATCAACGAAGGTTTTTTAATAATGGCACAAAAATTACCAAAATGATCAAAAACTGTAAAATTTCTGACAAAAAATCCAATCAAATTCTTGAAATTGCAATGGAATTCCAAAAACCAATCAAAAGTGACCGAAATGTCCGAAAAAAAATCAAAAAACAAACTTTTTTCCCAAAAATTTGATCGAAAAAATGCAAAAAAAAATTGCGAAAAACAAAAAAATATTTAAATTTTTGTGTATAGAACATATATAAAATGTTAAATAAAAAATGTATATTTAACTAAATTTTCAAAAATAAAAATTTTATTTCAAAAATATTCATTTTCGTATAAAATAATTAAAAAAGTATATTATTTATACGAAGCGACCAATAAATCGACCAATGCGGACTGTACAGTGCACGATATTTAATTATTTCCAAAATAATTACAATTTGTTCACATATACACCATTATCATATATAACAATTTTTTCACCTTTGTACCAACGTATGAACTAACCACCATCGACCGAACCGAATGGTGTAGCGCACACGTAACAAAGAAGAAAGAAAAAGGAAATAAAAAACTAGGCGAGCGACGGCTGCCTAACCAAGCATATGTATGTAACTGGCGTATGTATGTATAAACTAAAGGCCTGCACAAGACGAATTATATGAATTATGCTTTTTTCGACACACTGACTTTGTCTACTCAATCATGCGCTATGTATTTGAAAAGCAATGACAACCAACAACATCCCCCATTTTGATTCATATGTGCCATTGTCTAAGGTTCGATCGTGGCATGGCTGACTCGAATATTTGCATGGTGTTCTCCATAAATGCAGGGTGTCAACGATAACATCGAACCGTGTCATCGTCAAATTGTGTGTCATTTGTGTACGTGTGCTTAAATTGAGAGAGTGTGTGTGTGTTACTTTCGACGATGAGGCTGTGTTTTTTGTGTGTGCTGTAATTTTGAAGTAACAAATACCGCGTAAATATAAAATTGAGTTCAATAACAAAATGTGCATTGACATCAACAAATGAATAGAAAAAAATGAAATATATACTGAACAATCCCAATTTATTGATGATTATCATAAAATTTTGGTCATAAAAAAGATGTAAATATTGTTTGCCTATTTTCTATCTACATATAGTGTTTTTTTAAAATTAAAGTTTGTGGACAGAGATTTGACTCTCATTCAATAACAGAATTGAACAATTTTTTAAAAAGGATTAACAATAACCAGGAAATGTGAATGTCTCGTGTGGACCAATTAGAAGTAACTTTAATTTTTTAGTATTCGCCAAGAAATTCTTTATTACAAAAAATTATTTTTTTCACATATCGGAAAGCAGGTAGCGATTGCGTTTTCCCTTCATCGCGTGTGTGTCTTTTTCGTTGGCAATTGTTTCATAATTGTTGTTTTTTTGATAGAACATTTTTGTATGACACACTATTCAACATTCCCTTTTATTGGTCATTGCATCTTATGACGATGGGTTTGAGTGTGACCGACATGTCGAGACATCGAGCATTTGGTTGGATGTCACGTGCTGTTATGCGTTTGATCAAACAGGGCACAACATGACGAGCGTTTTTTCTCCATGGCATAAAGAGAGAAAATTGTCACATTTGCAGCCCTTTAGTATAAACATCCAACAGACGATCGATCGCGAGCGTACATATGTCACACGCGTAAATATGTAAATATAATTATGTATGATGGATCAGTGAAAAAATAGAAAATATGAACAAGTGATTTTTGGAGTTTGGTGGTGTTTTTTCTTTTGTTATTCTTTTTGAATATGAACGAACACTAGAGTGAGTGGATGCTATTGCAATATTTATTATATTTATTTATTAAAATTATTCAAATTTTCATTTAAAAACCGATTGCACCACAATTATTATTAAAAATAATTTATTTAAATTTTATCCACTGACTTTTGGAACAAAATTCACCTGTTAATAATTATTTTTTAAACACAAAAATATTCTTTTTTTCCACTGATCACTATGTCCGTCCGAGACTAATAAACAAGAGAACGGGAGAAGGACGGACAAACAAAGGGAATACGCGACGCGTTGCAAAGCGGCCGTTGTTGTTGTAAAAAAGAATAGGTTAACGATCTTTATTTTTGTTTTGTTATTAATTTCGATAGTTATTATTTTGTTTCGCGAGCTCACAATAAAAAAAAACACTGCACACCTACCTTTTGTTGATGACGATGTAAATGATGATGATGCCGATGTAAATAGATGTTGATGGGGGATGATGACGTTGTTGCTGTTGGGAAGAACCAAACAAAAAAATCCAATTAGGCAACGATACCAAGTAGCTCGTATCCGGCTTGATTGGACCAAATAATGTTAAAGCCGAAATTCCGTGTAAAATAAATAAAATAAAAACACGAACGTTTTAATTTTGTATTCAAAAAAATATGGTAGATTTATTGGGATAAATGAATGTGGAGACGACAAAGGAAATTAATGAACTTACGATTCTAAATTAAACATAGGCAAACAATATTTACCTATTATTTTATAACCAAAAATTTATGGTAGACATCAATAAATTGGGATTGTCCAGTCTATTTTCCATTTTTATACCCTCCACCATACTATGGAGGGTAAATTCATTTTGTCATTCCGTTTGTAACTCATCGAAGTGATGATCTTTGACCCAACAAAGTATATATATTCTTGACCAGCGTAAAATTCTAAGACGATTTAGCGATGTCCGTCTGTCTGTCCGTCTGTCTGTTGTAATCACTCTGTCTTTCGAACGAATTGAGATAGAAGGCTAAAGTCTTGCGCACATGTTTATTTTGCCAGTAGGCAGGTTAAGTTCGTAAATGGGCCATGTAGATCCACGTTTTCATATAGCCCCTATGTAACGGTACCTCCCGTTATTGGGTATTGTGATGATTTTAGCGACATTATTCACCGGAATTGGTTCAAATTTGGCATTTGAAGTTCGAAATGGATACTACAGCCTGGGACAGAAAATTGTCTGTGCAAGTCCACGTCTTCGTATAGCCCCCATATAACGGTACCTCCCTATATTCGGTATTTTGATGGTTTTAGCGACATTATTTACCCGAATTATTTCAAAATTGGTGTTTGAAGTTCGAAATGTATACAACAGCCTAAGGCAAAAAATTGTCTATGCAGGTCCACGTCTTCGTATAGCCCCCCATATAACGGTACCTCCAAATATTCGGTATTTTGATGATTTTAGCGTCATTATTCACCGTAGTAGTTTCAAATTACGTATTTAGAGTTCGTAATAGGAACTACAGTCTGTGACAGAAAATTGCAGGTTCAGGTCTTCGTATAGGCCCCATAAATCAGTACCTCCTTATATTCGGTATTTTGACGATTTTATGTACTATACTCACCGAAATTGTTTGAGATATTGTATTTGAAGTTCGTAATGGAAACTACAGCTTGTGACAGAAAGTTGTCTATGCAGGTCCAGGTCTTCGTATAGTTCCTATATAACGGTACCTCCCTATGTACGGTATTTTGATGATGTTGGCTACATTATTCACCGATTATTTCAAGTTTCGAATTTGAATATGGTAATGGCTTGTGACAAACAATGCCTATGTAGGTGCACATCGTACAGGCCCTAATATAACGGCTATATTCGGTATTTTTAAAATGTTAACAGAATTTTTGGCGAATGTTATCTTTTTCGAAAATTTTCAAATTTGTTCTAAATGGTGGAGGGTACTCAAAGTTCGGCCCGGCCGAACTTACTGCTTTTTTACTTGTTTCTACCCCGTACATTCCATGTATGGGTCCCTAGAAACTAGCTCAATTGAGATAGGTCTGTATTGAACAGAATGGTGTAACAGGAACGTTAGTCCCCCACCTCCACTTGTGGTGCGATCTTTCTTCAAGACGTTGTAACCATTGCAACGTTGTAAGCTACAATTTTCATTGAGCTTGGTTTCCTGCACCGCTACAATCTTAATATGCCTCCGATTTGTAAAATCTACTATCTCATCAATTTTCCGAGTCCGTTACAATTGAATTGCAAGAATAAATTTGAACAGCAATATGTGGCGTTAGGTGCTACGATGAAGGTTGCTGTTCTGGAGACTGCGACAACTCAGAAGTTGATGACATGGTCGTGGGCTCACTGGGAACTATGTTGGTACAGCACGATGCAACATCGCACCGAGACTTATCTGTCGTGGATGATGTTTTGGCAAACCGTATAGAACCGGCGCGGACCAAAAGAATCCAGAGCGAGCATTCGTGGATGTGCTTCTCCCAAAACAGAAAAATAAGCAAACAAGAACGTGTATACGCTGGGTTGGCAGCCGCTGGCGAAACTGGAGTGTTGTTGTTTCGGGTCAATCCGGTGTCATGGAACCCCGGCCCTGCGGTTGGTTATTGTTGCGCCGATTTTCCCATTTTGTCTGGTATTGTTTCCGGCGTGTTGTTAGTTATAGTCGCTTTTACGCTTGCTGGTGTGTTGTTGGATGCGGAAGGTGATGAAATGGGTAGTATACCCTCCAACATCCCTATCAACAGCAGTGACTCCGGACCAAAGGAGGCAAATTCTAAGAAGGGTTACAGACAGTCTGTAAATTATTATAAAAAATCCATTGACCTCTCTCAGGTGACGGAGAGGGAAAAGACCCTAATCAGGGCAAACCTGAAAGCAGTGAGGAAGTTCGAAAAGAACCACCCGCTACTGCCTAAGTGTTCACTTGAGAAGGATCTTGCCTCTCTCCTGGTCGACATTATCAAGAGAGTGAGCACGCTCGTCGACGCACCCTCGGAGGACAGGAACATTCCAGTTGATGGAACTAGGAACCTGCAACGGGTAAACCCCCGCTTCCACCTATTGCGTCATCCTCTCAGACCGTCAGCAAAAAGGTTTCTGCTGGACCAGAGCAAGCTGACAAAACAGTCCCCAAACCTGTTAAGGCCACAAACCCGTCCAACAAACCACAACATTCAAGCCAAAGCGACACGAGGGGGAAATTTCTTAGACTGTATGTCCGTGCTGAGCCGGAAGGCAAAATCAGCGAAATTCGGTGGAGAGCTGGTCTTCCTTGGGGAAGATCCCACACGAAAACGTGGAATCCAAAAACTTCCTCGTCACCGCAGTGGCTGCCTTCCACGGACTCTGGGAAGGAAGCGAGCTGGCGGCGGTTTCCCTAGAGGAGATTCCCTTCAGGAAAATATTGTCGGCACCGGTGCCACTACCATCGGTGGATCGGATACCCCAAACCCACCGGGCCAAGTAATAGAGAAGCTGTTCGCGGAACCGGGAAGCAAAGGCAGTCGCATCGTTGGATGTGACGTCAACGCGCACCACTTTCAATGTGGCAATAAGGATTCCAATGCAAGAGATGAGACAGTTTTTGATTTTATTCTTAGACATAATCTAAAAATATGTAATAGGGGGAACGAGGCTACATTTCAAAACAAGGATAGGGACGACGTCATGGATATCACCCTAACTAAAGTGGATGAATCGCTCATACTGAACTGGAAAGTATACTCCGAATGTCCAGACCATCGGAAGATCACATTCGAAGTATTGGTAGAAGGCATTCATCAAAAACCCAATAGGGATCCAAGGAAGGCTTACAGAGTACGTTTATATTGAGACTGAAGTCCAAAGGCAATATACAGGTGGACTTAGCCTTGAGTGTGAATTTCTTAACAAAAATCTTACTGCAATGCTATGAAAAGGCATGTCCACTTGCATTTCCTGGCAAGAAATACCAACTAGTCTTGTGGTCTAAGCACCTTGCTGGTCTTAGGAATGCAAGCTTACGCCTAAATAACAGGGCCAACAAGACCAAACTGCGATGCGTCTAGGTCGATTTTCAATAAGTACAATAGTGAGATCAAAAAGGATTAACGGAAATCTTGGGTTTGCTTTACTGAGTCCATAGAAGATGTCAATGAAGCTTCCAGGTTCCGAAAGTGCTTTCTAAGGACCCTAAATCCATTGCAAATATAAAGCGAAAAAGGTGCAGGGTGTAATGTGGTCATATGCCACAAGCTGGGCAGATATTCTGCACATCGCTGTCGATCTGGGACCAATAGGAATTGAAGCGGCTGCACCATCCGGATCTTAGTTGAGCCAAAACTATTCGGGTTTGTCGGGACAGCTCTCGCTCTTCAGCTGCTATGGGAGGGGATGGTCTCCTAATACAGTATTCACTCTATATCCTTCTATAACTTCTGAGACCGCGTTAGGCCTGTTGATCTAGAGGCTCTTATACCTTTGTACCTCTCTCTCTTTAGATCATGAAAGTCTTTCCTTACGTGCATGCGTGGAGGTTGCCTATCCACCAGATGGTGATTCGGATGGCTCTGTCGGTAACACCCATTGACAGCAATTTATTATGCTGTCGTAATGGTGAAACCTTCGCCTCCTCATGCAGATGGTCGACAGGTGTCATGAGGAGGCACCCTGTTGCGGTTCTAAGGGCGGCATTCTGGCAGGACTGAATATTTTTCCACTGCGTAGCACTAACTTTGGCGGACCACACCGAGCCGCATAGTTTACCACATTCCGGCCTATAGCGTTGTAAGAAGTCAACAAGGTTTCCTTATCAGCTTCCCAAGTGCTGCCGGCAAGAGACTTGAGAACCTTGTTCCTACTTCTAGTCTTATCGCAGATAGCTGTAGTATGCACGGACGTCTTGAAAAGGCTATCGAATGTGATTCCTAAACCTTGGCGTAGTTGGTTGTCGGAATTACACTCCATCGACCTGCACATTCAAAGATAGCCTCATCTCCGCAGTCCATGTGGTGAAAAGAGTGGACATCGATTTAGTGGCGAATATCTTCATATTCCTCGCAGTGGAAAAGGCGGTTAGATCAACTAAGTACGCATTTAACTGATCACATATGTCATCTATGCTGGGTCCGGACGCCACGAGCGAACCATCATCTGCGTACGTTATTAGCTCTATGCCGTCTGGAGGCGACTCGACTCGACTTCTCGACTTCTTGTTTCCGAAATTCATGTACGACTGGCGTCCACAAATGCAGTTTACAATCCAACGTTTCAAACTTGCCCGGAAGGCGGTTCGTTAAATGTCCTCGAAAACTGTAGAGATCCCGTTTTGACCAATCTTTCTCGGCTGGAAAAGATCGTACACGGCGTAGGATTCTTCTCTTAGCCCTGTCACTCTCGGGGTACTCTATGAATTGGCGGTTGAAATAACACGCACACCTCTTTGAATCTGTCTTCTACGCCTTTAAATGAGACAGATGCTCGATCATCCTTTTTTCCAGGGTTCGACAGCGACTTAACCGTTGCACACAATTTACTCTATCCGGTACTGATGGTACGACTAACCTGTTTACCTCCGGAGTAAGTTCCCTGACTCTGGGGTTATTAGGGTTAGTACGGCTAAGCTCATCTTGCTCATTTGCAAATCCCGCTGCCTCTGCTTAGAAATTTGGTCTTATTTCAGGTATTCGACCAGCACGTATATAGCGAGAAACACCTATCTGCTACCTGTACATCAGATGGGATGGTCTGTTGGGGGTGACAATAATGTGGAAGCGGTCTGAGTCATATTTTCCTAAAATAAGTATCATAAATTAAAAAGAATGTTAAGCACTCTAAGACAGTTTTGAAGTAAATAAATAGAAACAGCTGGATACGTAAGGAGTGGAGTACCTGACAAAAGCTCTCAACCTGCCGCTAGCCACTCACATCGTTCCCGAAGTCTGGAAAATGGGCCTGATTGTCCCGCTACTGAAGCCAGGTAATGATACCACGAAAGGCGAATGATACAGACCAATTTCGCTTTTGTCGGTAGTATCAAAGACTCTTGAGACTTTACTTCTGCCAAGCATCAGAGAAAGCTGTCCAGTGGCCAACCATCAACACAGATTCCGTCCACAACAGTATTGCACGCTATATCCACACATATTAGTCGAGGACTCAACCAGAACAACCCGTGCCATAGAACAGTAGTGGTTGCTCTTGAATAACTAAAGGCATTTTATATAGTCAACCACGCTGCACTCTTTGATATGTGTGGACATCAGTCGTACGTAGAATTCCGGAACAAGAAGTCCAAACTCCGTACAGTGAAACATGTAGTTCCCAAAGGTGTGGTAGTTTCCCAAGCCTATAGATCAAGAAGCCTATCAGGCAGACCAGACTGGCATTCAAACTGAAGCAGTCAGAGATGCCATCAATAATTATAATATGAATGACGTCCACCCCCACTCATTGAAGTTTTGGCGCAATTGGGTTCAGGATGGTGCAGTCGTCTCAATTCGTATTGGGCACGAATTGACGAAGATGCACGTAACATCTGCCTGTCATACTGCCAAACCTAACATCAGTATAATAACTAGTCAAAATGTTTAAACCCTTAGCATCCTTACACCTTAAGGAAATCAGCACTACAGGGACAGGGATCGATACCAATTGTGGGTCCTTTAATGATCATTTGAAGATCGTAGAAGACCATGCAATAGAAGATTTTGGATCACCTCCGTCAAGGCGGATATTCAATAAACTTTATGGACTGTACTATAAAATACCACATACGAGGGCAGTTCGGAAACTTCTTAGCCTAACACAAAAAGCGCGAAATAAACAGAAAACAGTTAAGTGTTTTGGAAATTTCCATCTCTGTTATGAATACATGTTAAATTTTGTTTCGATCTGGCAACTCCTCCATGTAGAAACAGGTGTTCAAAAAAGACGCATCCGCAATTTTTTACAGTGAAAAATTAGAAATGCTTTCTTATCGGGACAAGAAATTCATAATGATATTGTGAATGTGTGTGTCAAATCCATGATATGGTATTAAATGATAGACAAATAAAAGTGCGTGAAATTGCTAATATCATGGGCATCTCAAATGATCAAGTCCATTTAATTATCCATGAAGAACTACAGATGAAAAAACTTTCTGCAAGATGGGTGCCACATTTGTTAACAGTCGAACAGAAACGCATAAGAATGAACATTTCTCAAGCCTGTTTGGATCGTTTTAAGCGAAAAAAGGATTTTAAGCGTCGTTTCATAACTGTAGATGAGACATGGATCCGCCACTATATCCAGAGACAAAAGAACAATCCAAACAGTGGACTGAAGCTGGAGGAAGTGTCCCAAAGAAGGAAACAACAATTCAATCGGCTGGTAAGGTTATGGCAATTAAATGTACAAATTCGAGAAAAACGTCCTGGCTTAAAAAAAAAAAAAAAAAACATCAAAACAACGCACCAGCGCATAAGAGCGTTTTAAAAATGGCTAAAATCAACCAATTAAAGTACGAGTCGCTTGACCACCCATCTTATTCTCTTGATTTAGCTTCCAATGACATACTTGTTCCCAAATCAAAAAAAACAAAAAAATATTTTCCGGCAAGCGTTTTACTTCAAATAAAGATGTAATTACAGTTTAAACCACTATTTTGAAGACCTTGGGGAAAACTATTTTAATTAAGGGATAGAATTGCTGGAAAAGCGATGGACTAAGTGTATTGAAATTTCAGGAGATTATATTGAAAAATAAAAATATTTTTTAAAACCAATTATTCTCTTTCATTGATAGACTAAGAAGTTTCCGAACCGCCCTCGTACTATGGATACGTAGAAATTGTCGGGTAGAAAGCGGTGTACGTCAAAGGATGGAAGAGCAAATTCGGACTTAAAGTTTTGTTTGAAAGGTGACTATAAAAATCGATTAATGTCACATCGAGTGTTCCGCAAGGAAGTCACCTTGGTCCTGTGCCTTCAATTTGTCAACAACATACTCAATTCTATAAATTATTCGAAAGTGCTTTTGTATGCAGATGATAAAGTTATTTATTACTCATAATTATGAAAAAAAAAACTTTTGGTCTTTTGATGGATCCAAAATTAAATTTTAATAGTCATGAAATAACAATGAAAAATAAAGCTATTGATATTTTAGGTTAAGTAAAACGATTAGCCAAATTATTTTCTGATCCACATATAACTCCTTGTTTAACTCTACGTATCTCGACTTCTTGTTTCTAAACTCTATGTACGACTGGCGTCCACAAATGTAGTTTACAATCCAACGTTTCAAACTTGGCCGGAGGCGGTGCGTTCAATGTCCACGAACACTGTAGAGATTCCGTCAGGACCAATCGCTTTGGATGAATCTGCGTTTCTGAAGACATGTGTATTATCTTCTAACGTAAATTGTAGTGGTACTTCCTCGGCTGGATTCTTTCGTAGGATTCTTCTCTTAGCCTTGTCACTCTCGGGTGCTCTATGAATTGCCGGTTGAAATAACACGCACACCTCTTCGGATCTGTCTTCTACGCATTTAAATGGGACAGATGTCCGATCATCCTTTTTTCCAGGGTTCGACAGCGACTTAACCGTCGCTCACAATTTACTCGATCCGTTACTGATGTTCTATCCACTTTTTCCGCTTATGCTCACCGACTAACCTGTTTACCTCCAGAGTAAGTTCCCTGACTCTGGGGTTATTAGGGTTAGTACGGCGAAGCTCATCTCGCTCATTTGCAAATCCGCCTGTGTTTAATTTAGAATTGCATTCAAAATTGGTTTTTATTGACCCCTGGTTTGGTCCTTAATTAGTCGATAAAATGTACGCGCTACGGTTTATTGCAACCTTGTGCTAGCGCCTTTGACATTTTAACTACTAATTACTTGTCACTTGTTTTGCCGCCTCCTTAAGACATCAAGTAGTACTTCGCTGTCATTCGGACAGACTACATCGGCAATATCGTTTGCAAAGCACATATCGTTGTGTGTAGAAAGGCATATTGTTGCCAAAGGTAATATCGTTACCACCCACCAAACTAGCAATAAATAGTTCTATATATTAAGAAAAACCTCTGTGTTTTATTTCTTTTTATATTTCCCCCCTACGGTCCACTGCTCGACGCATTCGGCGTTTTACTCCCATCGGCGTAGCCCCTCTGAGCTAAACATTGGTCAATTCGAGCCAGATTTGGATCATCGCTTGCGTATGGATACTTGGATCCTCCATAAATATACAGTCCATTACTCCTGCATTACAAGGTACGTATAGTGCAGTGTTGTTTTTAAGTGAGCTCGCGTTATTAAATTACCGCGACACCAACAAAACAATCGGTTTTGTTTGGGTACAAAGGTCGTTTTACAACGTCACCTCTTTCCCTTTTGTTTTGTTTCCCGCCAATCGTCGGCTTCTAATTTGGATGCTTGTATTCGGCAGCATCAAAATCAAAACAAAACTCAAAAGTAAAACTGTTGCAAAAATCGTTCGCTAATTTTCTTTTTGTTTTGGTTCGTTTCAAACAACAAAACATTCAATATTTCTTTCGTTGATACCAACAAAAACGTCGTCGTTGTTATTTCTTAGTTTGGTGTGCTTTACTACGTAAAGCAAAGACCGCAATATTATTCTTTTTGTTTGGTCTGTCCGCTGTAATATTGCAAATTATTGTTGTTACATTTATTCATTTCTCTTGTTGTAACAACAGTCACATTTCAAATCGCAAACAACAACAACAACACTGTTTAAACCCCCACCGCTGTTTGCTTGCTTTGTCGTCGTTCTCTGATCAGCACTTGTTGTTTGTGCTTTGTTAGATCAGTGAACGAACATAACAAACGAAGGAAGAATATTTTTGTGTATTCCTCTTTCTGTCGTGTCCGTTTAGGTTGAGTAGCTACACTACGTTGGTCGGTCACTTTGGTTTGTTATATTAGTTGGCATTGGGTGTAAACTTAAAGTTATTATTAAAGTTAAATTAATATAAATACTATAGTGTATTTAATTTTTGTTGTTGTTTTCGATCTTTTAAAAATTAATACACCCTATAGGCGGTCATTTTGGCTAATTAAATAAATAAAAATAAAATTGTTATTTTATTTATTTTTGTATTTTTCCCCACATTGGTTCGGCGTTTCTACATTTAATTATGGCCTTCGCTCCTCTACAAACCTTCTTTAGAGCATTGGACGCTCTAACAGAATTTGGTGCACAAATAGGTGCAATAGAAGATAAGGATTTAGATATTAGTTTTTTTAGAGGAAAGGAAGAGCAAGTTAGAAAAACTATGGCAATCGGTAAATAAATCGTTGAGTATCTTAGAAAATTCGGAAAGTGTAGCAAAAGAACATCTGCATTTGGCAGAAAATAAACACAACGCTTCTTTAAACATTTATTCAAGCACTATGGCCACAATTAATAGAAAAATTATCAAATATCGGTGCATAACAAGAAATTCGATTAAAATTGCGGATAAAAATCAAGAGCAATCGGCTCAATTACTTTTGGCTCCTGAATCGCAGGATAATATGGCGACAATTAATTCTTCTGGTTGTGATATCGTTCACGACATGGCAATGCCCCCAATCGATATTGATATTTTTGTGGGAGATTTTTCTTCTTGGCCTTCCTTTCGGGATTTGTTTAGCGTCATTTATATAAATAACTCCCGCTTGGGTGATGTGCAGCGCCTGTATTACTTGCTACAAAAGACTGCTGGTGATGCAAGGGAAATAGTTTCGCAATTTCCTTTAACAAATCGTGGATTCGCTTTCCCTTGGAAAGCATTAAATGATGAGTACGACAATATTCGAATTTTGGTACATCATCAGTTGTCGTCGCTATTTTGTCTTCCGGTTCTCGACAAGGAAACAATCTCTGGTTTGAAAGAGATTAGATGTGGAATTAATCGTTGTATATCCTCAATGTCGACCTATAACGTTCCCACAGATCAATGGGATCCGATACTGGTATATCTTTGCCTTCAACGTTTACCGAAAGAAACGCAAATGCTGTGGGAACAAGGTATTAAAAACAAAGCGGCTCTTTCTTCGTGGAAAGATTTAGACACCTTCCTTTCAGAAAGGATAAACACGCTTGTGTGTTTGAAAAGTTATCAAGAGAAATCGATTCCTTCGCCTAGTTCAGATTCGTTAAATACTGCTAGGAATTCCCATTCCAAATGTTCATCTTCCCCTTCAATTGGAAAATCATGTTCTCTTTGTCGAGATAAATGCCATCGACTTCATTTTTGCTCAAAATTTAAGGAATTATCCCCCGCAAATAGGTTTGCATTCGTCAAGCGCTACGAACATTGTATAAATTGTTTGTCAAAGGCACATAAACTAGTAAATTGTACTAGTAAAAATAGTTGTTGGAAATGTGGTCAACGTCATCACACGTTATTACATCGCGAGTCATTAAAACCGAATAGTTCGTTTCCGGTTCTGACTCCAAAGGCTTCGTCAAGCATAGCAAAATCGTTGTTGTCAGCTTCAGCCCCAGTTTTTCGTCCCTCGAAATGTATATCCTCCACATCGGTTGGAGTCGAAAATCAAAAATCTAATTTTAATGTTCGTTCAAAATCGCTGTACAAAATGTCTAAAAGCAACCTTATTAAGTTTATAAAAATGCATTTTTTGGAAGGTAGTCATAAAGAGAAATTGAAAGTTGCAAACAACGTTGTAGGACGACCTTCGCGTAAAATCGGTCCCGCGACATCTGCCGGTTTATATACCGACATTGGCACAGGGTCTCAATTGGAACCCCCCTCGAATATCGTTTCGGGAAACACTTAGCTCGATTGAAGTCCGAATCTGTAACTGCAGGTTCATCTGCGGCTTCAAAGTATTACATATCGTGTATTAACATAGCTTGATTGAAGTCCGAATCTGTTACTGCAGATTCAACTGCGGCTTCATATTATCGTTGTAGCGGAGATGAATCCCGAATCTGTTACTGCAGATTCATCTGCGTTTCCATTCCCTACATTTTGTTCGAACAAAAAGCTCACACTGCACTATGCATCCAGTACCTACCATCGGAACTTATTTAGATTTAGTTTAATTATGTTGAAACATGATTTGATGTTTCAAGGGGGTCGGCATGTTTGATTTAGAATTGCATTCAAAATTGGTTTTTATTGACACCTGGTTTGGTCCTTAATTAGTCGATAAAATGTACGCGCTACGGTTTATTGCAACCTTGTGCTAGCGCCTTTGACATTTCAACTACTAATTACTTGTCACTTGTTTTGCCGCCTCCTTAAGACATCAAGTAGTACTTCGCTGTCATTCGGACAGACTACATCGGCAATATCGTTTGCAAAGCACATATCGTTGTGTGTAGAAAGGCATATTGTTGCCAAAGGTAATATCGTTACCACCCACCAAACTAGCAATAAATAGTTCTATATATTAAGAAAAACCTCTGTGTTTTATTTCTTTTTATATTTCCCCCCTACGGTCCACTGCTCGACGCATTCGGCGTTTTACTCCCATCGGCGGAGCCCCTCTGAGCTAAACATTGGGTTTTATGTGAAGGTCGCTTTACAACACCCTGCATCTGCTGGGAAATTTGGTCTTATTTCAGGTATTCGACCAGCACGTATATATCAAGCGGCTGCAGCTTTGATGATATCCCGGAAACACTTATCTGCTACCTGTACATCAGATGGCTTGGGCAGTTCTCTGAAGCGGCGATTGGTATATTATCTGAATTCTTGCCAGTTGGCTTTCCAATGGTTAAAGAAAGTGCAGCGTTCAGAGTCTATGAAATTGGATGAGGAATTAGACGTCACCGGCGCATGCCGATGGTTTCTCCTCCTCAAGATTTGTACCTCACCGGAGTGCCAGGTTTGGTTTTTTCGATGGGTTTTAGGAATGACTCAGCTTTCTGAGTTGAGGTGGCGACTATAATGTGGAAGTGGTCTGAGCCTAGCGAAATGACTAATTGCCACGTTACATCATTCGTCAGACGTGGGAACACAATGGATCTGTCCGGCGATCAGTGGCAGTTTCCCCTTATTCTGGTGGGCGCGTCTTCATTCACCGTGCAAAACGGGGAGCTATCGAGTTGCTTAGACAGCGCCATGGCCCTGTCCTCCACGGTACCCTTATCCGAGATTGCGTCGGCGAGCGCGCTCGCTCTCTTGATAATGTCGACCAGGAGAGAGGCAAGATCCTTCTCAAGTGAACATTTAGGCAGTAGCGGGTGGATCTTTTCGAACTTCCTCACTGCTTGCAGGTTTGCCCTGATTAGGGTCTTTTCCCTCTCCGTCACCTGAGAGAGGTCAATGGATTTTTTATAATATTTTACTGACTGTCTGTAACCCTTCTTAGCATTTACCTCTTTTGGTCCCGAGTCACTGCTGTTGATAGAGATGTTGGAGGGTATACTACCCATTTCATCACCTTCCGCATCCTGCACCAGGAGGTTAACCGCATCCGCGCATGCCGATGGTTTCTCCTCCTCAAGATTTGTACCCCTGTAATGTTACGATAAATTAATGCGTGTGAACTACCCTTGTATTGATCACCTGTAACTAGGCTGAGTAGATCAGCTGATTAACAGCTGTAGTTTTAAGGATTGTTATTGTTATTTTTAAGGATATATTAAGAAAACAAAATCTAGGATTAAGTACCGTTATGTTTTATATATAAGGACGATGAAATTGGAAATAAAGTTCAGAAGTTAGAAAGAGCCTAAACCGGCTTTAAAACTTCAGTAAAATTAAAAAATCAAAAAGCTCTTTTTATTGAGCTGGAAATCGCTGGCAACTAGTTGTGCCTTCGAAAATTTTAAAAAACATATTTTTCTGCCAAGTGGCGTTTGTAAGCGCCGGCAAACAAATTGAGGCAGGGCCCAATTTTCCACACACACATACATGTCTACACAAAAGAATCAAGAGGTTGCAGGCCAACATTACACCTCACCGGAGTGCCAGGTTTGGGTTTTTCGGTGGGTTTTAGGAATGACTCAGCTTTCTGAGTTGAAGATATCACGGTGACGTCTAATTCCTCATCAGAGAGATGTGAGTCATTCCCAAAGCCAGATTGAAAACTTTCCTGACTGAGCCTCAGGGTTTTGGTCTTTTCAAAGAGAGCGGGCAACTGTTCATTTTGTGTCTGGATGCTTTTGCATAGTACGTCTCTGTATGTGAGCAAAGTCTCGTTCCCACACACATTTGAGATCATGTCCGTGGTCGTTGAATTGGTCGTCGCCTCCGAGGAGTCGGTTGAGGAATTGTTATTGATTGGTTTTGTTTAGTTTCGTTTTCCATAAGAGGTTTGGACAGCCATGACATAGCTGGTTACTTAAGGTTCGCCAGTAGCTTCGCTTCGTCGAGTCCAGGGATTATAGACACATATTTGATTCGTAGCTGCCCGAATGCCACATACAGTGACGTACTATGCGAAAGCATCCAGACACAAAATGAACAGTTGCCCAATTAGTTCGCCATCGTTTGACCAATGTATTAGGGTGGGACAATGGAGATTGTGTTAACTCCTCCCCTTCTTAAGTAAGGGCCGTCCTCGGATCTTTTGTAGCTATCAATGACAGCTTCAATAACATCGCGTTTTACTGTTCGCCTTCGACACAATTTGAATGAAATATAAAGACTGATGATTAAAATAATGCTTATAAGTCCAGAGACCGCTGGACCGGTTATTGTCCTGTTCTTCACGACATCGATGTGTTGTAAGTTTTCAAAATTTAATCTTTGAAGATACGGCAGGCTCAATATCTCTTGATGACTTGTGATATTAACTATAGTAGATATAGCCGACGTCGGTACCATCTTCTGGTTTTTGTATATGGAGTCATTAATACTGATTTCATCTTCAAACGCAATCAAATATGTACCGGTAATTATTGTTACGATTCCTTCTGGGTTTTTTATAGTGGGCCTGTTGTCGTTTATTATCATGACGCCATCATCGACAATCTCCAATGGTTCAAGATGACTTGGTCTTGTGCTGCAGTGTGCTATAGTACCCGAATGAAGCTGTTGAGCACAAGTTGGTTGAGAATATTCTTGACAAAATGATGAAGTTAGCGTTGAGGTACAGTTTCCTATTGCAATTATACGATTTCCACAATTAGCGACGCTGTTGGTTTCAGCAAGATGTAGTATTGTGCCATTATGTTGGACGGGGTGCATAATTATTTTCTTACATACTAATTTGGGCTTGGGATATTTAATAAGAAAATGCAACATTTCATTATACAGTAGGACCTTAATTAGTGATACTTCTAGCAAGTCTGTTACAGTTGTATTTGTTGAAATTATTTGTAATAATTCATTTACATCATCGGAATCTAATAGCGTAGGATTAATTACATCTGCGTTTACAAGAGTGATTGGTAGCATTAATGTTTCGATTTCCGCAATTGTAATTCTGTTTCGAGCAAGTAATATTTCGTATAAATACCCCGTACGAATTTGTTCAGGTTTAGCATTTCCAATAATTTTGTTGACAATATCTGTTAACTTATTTATCCCATCCTGTATTTTAGAGTTGATTGAAACCTGTTTGTTAATTGAGTTTATAAGTTCCTTCTGTAGAAATTTCTGTTCCTCAATGTCGTCAAAATCGGGAGTCCCCGCTATTATTTTTAGTGCTGTTCCCAAGATGTTAATACTTCTCGCGTGTCTGTGGTGAACATACAATGATTGTAGGAGGGAGCGTATTCGCTAAATATCAGACTCGAGTATTTTCACCATATGCGAGGAGGGGAAATGTTCCATAAGTTTTTCGGTTTCGTCCGCAATTTCCAAATATATATATATATAAGTAGTCAAAGTCCTGCCAAATTATAACATCCCCATCTTCAATCGGTATGTAGTCGGAGCCAGAATAGTCAATTAATTTTGTGGTAAGGGGTCTGATAAGCAACATCATCAAAGTCCTAAAATTTGTTTAAAAGAGTTGTTAATTATAATCGGATTATACAAATTTTGAATTATCTTATGTTGTCCTTGTGGACCACCCTCCCTCTAATAAGAACCGTAGTTCCTAGATCGGCTTCTATTGTTTCTTCAGAGTATAACGGGGTCCATTTGTTTCCTAGCCTTTTGTTGTTTTTCACTAGTACGGACTCACCAACTTCAAATGTTCTATTTTGCCTGGAGGCATTGTTTCTATTTAGTACGGTCTGTTGAGCTTTTGAAATTTTTTCTTTAATTTCCTCCCTTAATTCGGATGAGGAGAATTGGAAAATATCTATCGGTCGTTTGTTGGTTATTGAGTGAATAGTCCGATTATATTTTATGGTTGCTAGTAAAATAAGGTCAACTGTGCTTACCATTTTCTTTTCTAATTTGAGGCATCTAGCTATTTCAGAAAGTGTGCTATGAAAGCGCTCGACTTGTCCATTTGATGTGCTATGAAGGGGAGCAGCGTTTTCAACTTTAACATTAAATTGATCCCGTAACAGGGACATAATAGTCTCAGATTTTAGTGAAGGTTCGTTGTCATAGTAAATATTTTCCGTGTGTGGAAAAAGATTCATTAGTTGTATAATCGGGCCTTTTAAATCTATTATTGTACGAGATGGAATATGTTGAACAACCGCAAACTTTGAAAATTTATCGATACATGTTAGAAAAAGCTCATGTTTCATAGGGTGTCTGTCGTATTTAGCCCTCGAACAGATTTTACAATTTGCAGCAATTTCATTTGCCAACTTTGCCATTTTTGAAAAATAATAATCAGAAAGTATCTGCTTAACATTTTCCTGAGCTGCCCTATGGGCACGGTTATGTTCGATGGCAATAATTTCCCTCTGTTCATTTTTATCAAAAATGTCCTGGAAATTTTTGCAATGCCAAAATTTAGTAGCGGGAAAGTATCTAACCAATTTATGCTGAATACAGGCTAAAGTTGGCAGATCGCAATGTATTGCATTTACGACATTTGGATTGATCACTGATTTTACTTCGTTTAGCAATGTTTCCCTGCTTGTGAAGTCAACCATATGTCGAGTCTTCTCAGTAAAGACAATAAAGACAATAAAATTTTTCTGTAGACTCAATGGTATAGGTCAAAGATATTTCGCTGTGTACCGTTGCAAGATCTGAGTGATTATCCTCTTCCAAAGTATTCAAAGATTGAGGTTCGAAATGTTTCTCGGTGCGCATAGATTCTACATTCAGAGTATGGATGTTCTGTCGTGAAAGGGCGTCCTCCACATAATTCTCCTTTCCAGGTTTATAAATAATTTTGGGATTATGTTCGTCAACAAATGCTGCCCACCGTTTTATCTTAGCATTCGGGTTTCTATTAGAGACTAAAAATGTAAGTGGTTGGTGGTCTGTGTAAATATTTAAATATCTTACTCCATATAAAAAGTTCCTCAATTTTTGAAGAGCCCAAACAATAGCTAAGAGCTCTCGCTCATTCTGGAAATCATGGATTGGCCTCCCCCCTTGTGAGAGAACTGCTCCCAGACCCAATGAAGAGGCGTCTGTTGTAAGATCAAAAGGTTTTTTGAAGTCAGGATAAAGAAGCATAACTTCTTCAAAAGCAAGGATTTCCTTTAATTTTCTAAAGGTCTGCATTTGCTCTTCATTAAAATTTATTTTCACACTTTTTGATTGAGAAGCACTAATCTTGCCGTTTTCGCCCTTTAGAATATCTGTTAGCGGCTTGGCGATAGATGCGAAATCTTTAATAAAGCATCTGTAATAACTTGCCAATCCTAGAAACGACCTTACGTTGAAGAGTGTAGAAGGTGTTTCATAATTAAGGATGGCCTTTACTTTTTCCGGGCTCGTTCTGATGCCATTTCTGGACACAAAAAAACCGAGGTATTCGACACTTTCCCGAAAGAAATGTGATTTTTCCCGAGAAATTCTCATATTGGCCCCGTATAATCTCTCCAGTACCCACTCAATATGTTTCACATGGTCTTCTTCGGTTTCAGAGAAAATAATGACGTCGTCGACATAAACATAGCATGACTTTCCAATTTGCTCTCTCAGGACATCGTCGATGGCCCTTTGGAAAATGCTGGGGGCATTCTTCAGACCAAAAGGAAGACGGCAAAATTCATATTTTCCATTTCCAACTGAGAATGCAGTTTTTTCACGATCTTGTTCAGATAATGTTATTTGATGGAAACCTGATTTAAGGTCAAGTGTCGTAAAAAATCTTTCTTTGCCAAGATTTGAGAGAATGACGGGTATTTGGGGTATTGGGTATTTGTCATCGATCGTAATGCTGTTCAGTTTCCTGAAGTCTATAACTAATCGTTTTTTGGAATTACCGTATTCATCCTTGCCCTTTTTATCAACAACCCAAACGGGATTATTGTAGGGTGATCTTGAAGGCCGTATTATGCCGTTATGCAGAAGTTCTTTTACTTCATTGTTAACAAAATCTGCTACACCCATGGGATATGGGTATAGTTTTGTATAAACGGGATCACTAGAATTAGTTCTAATGGTAGCTACAATATTCGTATTATATGGAAGTGATTCTTTGGGGTTTGCAAAAACACCCGAAAATTTTTTTATCACTTCCTTAAATTTTTTCACAACGATTTGAGGTATTTTCGTGCCCTCAACTTGTGTAAAATTTACATTTACGCATTTTAAAAATTGGATCTTTTCGATCCCAACTGTAGTTTTAAGTTCCCTACTTTCAAAATTCAACGTTGCACCTATCTGTGTTAATAGATCCAGGCCAATTATACCATCAAACGTTGATAGTGATGGTAAGACAAAAAAATTACTATTGGTTTGAAAAATATTTATGGTACATTTTTCCTTAATTGCTGTGAAACCATGAATAGATTTCACTATGAACGGGTTGCCTACGGGAATAATACCTTTTAAACCTTTTATAGGTTTGATATAATTCTTCGAAGCCCCCGTATCAATAAGCAATTTTGTGATTTTCCCTGCCACTTTCCTTTCTATAAATGGTAGCAGGGAGTTGTGCCTAAAAAAATAATCTGGTCAAATTCATCCCCAGCATCGATTACAATATCGTCTGCTTAGATTTCTGCCATTTGATGGTAGTCTTGACCACATCCGGACTCATCTTGAGAAATGTGATTAATTCTCTGATGTTTTAGCCCAGTGTATTTTGCCGTACCACTGTTGGGCCTGCCAATTTGGTCGATTTTGGAACGGCTGTGGTAGGTTCTGTTTGTGATCGTATTGATTCTGAGGTAAGCCCTGTGTAGATGGCTTGAATTTAGTTGATTGTCTGAATCGCATAGATTCATCGACCTCCATGGGTTCTATTTGATTATTTTCGTTCTTGTTTGAACGATTTGAATTTCTTTTAGAAAACTACGGATTTTTACTTTGAACATTTCCGTGTGCGAAATGTGTTTCATACTTATACTTATCTCTGTCCTCGCGTGATTTAGCGAAGTTTGACGCGAATTGGTATCTTTCCCGATTTGACTCAACCTCTTGGGCCAATGCCAATGCTGATGGTAAGTCGGATGGACGAGCGGAACATTACTCAAATCTTTTTTTGTGCCAGAAATGAAAACGCGTAACGCATCCATTCTGTATTTTTCGTTCATACAATTTGCGACAACACTTTCATATGACATAGTGGTTTTGTTGGTAAGTAATGTCAGTTTCTTTTCTACTTCATCATAGAATTCTAGTAACGTCATATTACCCTGACGAAGAGTGGACAACTCTTGCTCAATTAAGTAAATTGGACGCTTATACGAATAAGTAAAGTCCAGTCGGGCAATAATAGCCTTAAAATTTAACACTGTATTGAATGAGGATAACACCATATCGGCTTGACCCTTTATTTTATTTCCAATTATTGCTACTGCCTGATAGTGTTTAGAACTTCCATCGTAAGGCTCGAACAACTTATAAGCTGTATGAGCAGCCTGGCGCCATGAAACGTACGTTTCATGCTTGCCTTCAAAGTCTGGTAAGGATTTTACAACCTTTAAGGACTCATCACACCGGATTTCTTTGTTAATTTCAACATCCTTATAAGGCACAACTTCAGGAGTCGATAAAGAGAATTTTTCAAGTTTATTATCAATATCGGAAATTTGTTTTTCAAATTGCTGTCTTTGAACTTTGGCAGAGTCAACAAGCACACGTATGCTTTCTGCGGTAGTTGCCATTATATTATTATTGTCAGATCTTTTGTCTACAGGAATTTGATTGAAGGAATCTATTATAAATTCTACTTCTTAGACAAGATCGCGATTATTCATTAATATCAGAAAAAAACGAACAGGCATTTTTTTTAAATTTCATGAATTTTGAAAAAAAAACAAGCGGAATTAATTTTAAATATTATCGAAACCAATTTTTGCTAGCAGCCACTCACTTCTTATTAAGATCTTTATGATTCACTATATAATATTTATCATACACATTTTTCCAAACACTCGATTTGTGTTATTTAATATTAATTTTAATTATTCAATTATTCAATATGTACTATCTTACAATTGTATAAATAGAGACTCCATTTTATGTTGTGGGTGTCCTCTCCGCTGATGATGTTGTCGCCGTTGTTGTCCTCTTGTGTTTCTTATTTCTACGCAGCCCAGACAGATTTCAAAGCCTGGTGACGCACCTTCTTTCCAAGTTTTTACTAAATGTTTTAAGTTTTTTATAAACTAATTTTATATTTATTTTTTAACCCTCTTGGGCGCCAGTTAAGTATTTTGGTTATTTGTATGATGTTGTTACACCTTCTTTATTCCAGTTCTCTTATCAAACTAACTTATTAAGATACTTAAAGCTATGAATAAACTTATAATTATTGTTTTCTACAGCTGACTCTGCGCCTTTTTGTGGAGTATTATATTGCAATACGTTGAATAAATACTCGTATGTTTGGTGTTGGCTAAGCAATGCTGATGAATATAATTGCTGACACTGTGCCTCGTGTGGAGTGTTGCATTGCAATATGTTGGACGAACAATGAATGAAATATAAAGACTGATGATTAAAATAATGCTTATAAGTCCAGAGACCGCTGGACTGGTTATTGTCCTGTTCTTCACGACATCGATGTGTTGTAAGTTTTCAAAATTTAATCTTTGAAGATACGGCAGGCTCAATATCTCTTGATGACTTGTGATATTAACTATAGTAGATATAGCCGACGTCGGTACCATCTTCAGTACCATCTTCTGGTTTTTGTATATGGAGTCATTAATACTGATTTCATCTTCAAACGCAATCAAATATGTACCGGTAATTATTGTTACGGTTCCTTCTGGGTTTTTTTATAGTGGCTCTGTTGTCGTTTATTATCACGACGCCATCATCGACAATCTCCAATGGTTCAAGATGACTTGGTCTTGTGCTGCAGTGTGCTATAGTACCCGAATGAAGCTGTTGAGCACAAGTTGGTTGAGAATATTCTTGACAAAATGATGAAGTTAGCGTTGAGGTACAGTTTCCTATTGCAATTATACGATTTCCACAATTAGCGACGCCGTTGGTTTCAGCAAGATGTAGTATTGTGCCATTAGGTTGGACGGGGTGCATAATTATTTTCTTACATACTAATTTGGGCTTGGGATATTTAATAAGAAAATGCAACATTTCATTATACAGTAGGACCTTAATTAGTGATACTTCTAGCAAGTCTGTTACAGTTGTATTTGTTGAACTTATTTGTAATAATTCATTTACATCATCGGAATCTAATAGCGTAGGATTAATTACATCTGCTTTTACAAGAGTGATTGATAGCATTAATGTTTCGATTTCCGCAATTGTAATTCTGTTTCGAGCAAGTAGTATTTCGTATAAATACCCCGTATGAATTTGTTCAGGTTTAGCATTTCCAATAATTTTGTTGACAATATCTGTTAACTTATTTATCCGATCCTGTATTTCAGAGTTGATTGAAACCTGTTTGTTAATTGAGTTTATAAGTTCCTTCTGTCGAAATTTCTGTTCCTCAATGTCGTCAAAATCGGGAGTCCCCGCTATTATTTTTAGTGCTGTTCCCAAGATGTTAATACTTCTCGCGTGTCTGTGGTGAACATACAATGATTGTAGGAGGGAGCGTATTCGCTTAATATCAGACTCGAGTATTTTCACCATATGCGAGGAGGGGAAATGTTCCATAAGTTTTTCGGTTTCGTCCGCAATTTCCAAATATATTGTCAGATTTGATGTATGTCGTAAGTAGTCAAAGTCCTGCCAAATTATAACATCCCCATCTTCAATCGGTATGTAGTCGGAGCCAGAATAGTCAATTAATTTTGTGGTAAGGGGTCTAATAAGCAACATCATCAAAGTCCTAAAATTTGTTTAAAAGAGTTGTTAATTATAATCGGATTATACAAATTTTGAATTATCTTATGTTGTCCTTGTGGACCACCCTCCCTCTAATAAGAACCGTAGTTCCTAGATCGGCTTCTATTGTTTCTTCAGAGTATAACGGGGTCCATTTGTTTCCTAGCCTTTTGTTGTTTTTCACTAGTACGGACTCACCAACTTTAAATGTTCTATTTTGCCTGGAGGCATTGTTTCTATTTAGTACGGTCTGTTGAGCTTTTGAAATTTTTTCTTTAATTTCCTCCTTTAATTCGGATGAGGAGAATTGGAAAATATCTATCGGTCGTTTGTTGGTTATTGAGTGAATAGTCCGATTATATTTTTTGGTTGCTAGTAAAATAAGGTCAACTGTGCTTTCCATTTTCTTTTCTAATTTGAGGCATCTAGCTATTTCAGAAAGTGTGCTATGAAAGCGCTCGACTTGTCCATTTGATGTGCTATGAAGGGGAGCAGCGTTTTCCACTTTAACATTAAATTGAATCCGTAACAGGGACATAATAGTCTCAGATTTTAGTGAAGGTTCGTTGTCATAGTAAATATTTTCCGTGTGTGGAAAAAGATTCATTAGTTGTATAATCGGGCCTTTTAAATCTATTATTGTACGAGATGGAATATGTTGAAAAACCGCAAACTTTGAAAATTTATCGATACATGTTAGAAAAAAATTTTTATCCGTTGAAAATACATCGATATAAAGCATTTCGCCTACGTAAGATGGTGTTGGGGTTACCCCAAGCTCATGTTTCATAGGGTGTCTGTCGTATTTAGCCCTCGAACAGATTTTACAGTTTGCAGCAATTTCATTTGCCAACTTTGCCATTTTTGGAAAATAATAATCAGAAAGTATCTGCTTAACATTTTCCTGAGCTGCCCTATGGGCACGGTTATGTTCGATGGCAATAAATTCCCTCTGTTCATTTTTATCAAAAATGTCCTGGACAAAATTTTTGCAGTGCCAAAATTTAGTAGCGGGAAAGTATCTAACCAATTCATGCTGAATACAGGCTAAAGTTGGCAGATCGCAATGTATTGCATTTACGACATTTGGATTGATCACTGATTTTACTTCGTTTAGCAATGTTTCCCTGCTTGTGAAGTCAACCATATGTCGAGTCTTCTCAGTAAAGACAATAAAATTTCTTTTAAGTAGGAAATTTGCCTCCCGGAGGACAATTTGGTTCCTAAAGCAATTGACCGGTTTTTCTGTAGACTCATTGGTATAGGTCAAAGATATTTCGCTGTGTACCGTTGCAAGATCTGAGTGATTATCCTCTTCCAAAGTATTCAAAGATTGAGGTTCGAAATGTTTCTCGGTGCGCATAGATTCTACATTCAGAGTATGGATGTTCTGTCGTGAAAGGGCGTCCGCCACATAATTCTCCTTTCCAGGTTTATAAATAATTGTGGGATTATGTTCGTCAACAAATGCTGCCCACCGTTTTATCTTAGCATTCGGGTTTCTATCAGAGACTAAAAATGTAAGTGGTTGGTGATCTGTGTAAATATTTAAATATCTTACTCCATATAAAAAGTTCCTCAATTTTTGAAGAGCCCAAACAATAGCTAAGAGCTCTCGCTCATTCTGGAAATCATGGTGATTGGCCTCCCCCCTTGTGAGAGAACTGCTCCCAGACCCAATGAAGAGGCGTCTGTTGTAAGATCAAAAGGTTTTTTGAAGTCAGGATAAAGAAGCATAACTTCTTCAGAAGCAAGGATTTCCTTTAATTTTCTAAAGGTCTGCATTTGCTCTTCATTAAAATTTATTTTCACCCTTTTTGATTGAGAAGCACTAATCTTGCCGTTTTCGCCCTTTAGAATATCTGTTAGCGGCTTGGCGATAGATGCGAAATCTTTAATAAAGCATCTGTAATAACTTGCCAATCCTAGAAACGACCTTACGTTGAAGAGTGTAGAAGGTGTTTCATAATTAAGGATGGCCTTTACTTTTTCCGGGCTCGTTCTGATGCCATTTCTGGACACAAAAAAACCGAGGTATTCGACACTTTCCCGAAAGAAATGTGATTTTTCCCGAGAAATTCTCATATTGGCCCCGTATAATCTCTCCAGTACCCACTCAATATGTTTCACATGGTCTTCTTCGGTTTCAGAGAAAATAATGACGTCGTCGACATAAACATAGCATGACTTTCCAATTTGCTCTCTCAGGACATCGTCGATGGCCCTTTGGAAAATGCTGGGTGCATTCTTCAGACCAAAAGGAAGACGGCAAAATTCATATTTTCCATTTCCAACTGAGAATGCAGTTTTTTCACGATCTTGTTCAGATAATGTTATTTGATGGAAACCTGATTTAAGGTCAAGTGTCGTAAAAAATCTTTCTTTGCCAAGATTTGAGAGAATGACGGGTATTTGGGGTATTGGGTATTTGTCATCGATCGTAATGCTGTTCAGTTTCCTGAAGTCTATAACTAATCGTTTTTTGGAATTACCGTATTCATCCTTGCCCTTTTTATCAACAACCCAAACGGGATTATTGTAGGGTGATCTTGAAGGCCGTATTATGCCGTTATGCAGAAGTTCTTTTACTTCATTGTTAACAAAATCTGCTACACCCATGGGATATGGGTATAGTTTTGTATAAACGGGATCACTAGAATTAGTTCTAATGGTAGCTACAATATTCGTATTATATGGAAGTGATTCTTTGGGGTTTGCAAAAACACCCGAAAATTTTTTATCACTTCCTTAAATTTTTTCGCAACGATTTGAGGTATTTTCATGCCCTCAACTTGTGTAAAATTTACATTTACGCATTTTAAAAATTGGATCTTTTCGATCCCAACTGTAGTTTTAAGTTCCCTACTTTCAAAATTCAACGTTGCACCTATCTGTGTTAATAGATC